GCGGCAGGGCTGGCTGCGGGGCGCCTTGGAAACCCAAGGCGAAGAAGGGGAGGGGGCGCGAAGGAAGGGAGACGCGGCGGGGTTGCCTTCGCGTCCGAACTTGGCGGGGTCTTGCGGAGAGGCCTGCAGATACCGCCCTGGATTTGTGCGTGCGGGGAGCAGGGGAGCAGGCTTGCCTGCGCGCAGGGGTGCGGGTCGTCGTACCCGGAGGTTGTGCAGAAGGGTCCGGGCCCTGCGTAGATTTTCAAGGTAGCCGCCGAGGGAGGGACCGGAGGCAGATGGGAATCAAGGTGCGTGTCCCAGGTGAGGGACAGGCAGGGTAACGGGTGTCCAGCACACGAGGGAGGAGCTAGTAGAAACCGGGATTGAGGTTGAACTCGGCGTGTGGCCAGACAGCAAGGGACACAGAAGGCAAATCTGAATTAAGGACTGAAAAAGAGTAGTTTTACTGGAATAAGACTATCCAGTGATAAGGCACAGAGGAAAAAGGGGGAAAGGGTTCTGAAGTTGCTGTGGCACCCCTCAGAAACCAAGGATGGAGAACCTGTAGTGGGTCTGCTGACAAGCAGGCTGAAAGAGCGGTTAGAGAAGGATGTAGCAGTCATTGGACCAAGCAAAGACAAGATGTCAAGAAGGGTATTGTTGAAAGAGGTTGACAGATTAAGTGGGATTTGATTTAGGTAGGAGGAATTCTTTAGGCACCTCATTGACAGTGCTGACAACTGAGCACAAAGATCTGCAGGCAGACTGCAGACTGTGTAACGGAGGAGCCCCAGACATGGGTTGTGAACACCGTGTTCGTGGAATCTACATGTGAAAGGGAGAAAGAATATGGTACAATAATCCAAACCAAATTGGATTGAGAGGTGGGTCCTTCCTCCTCCACACAGGAGAGATTAGAGAATTATTACACTGCAAGAGCAATAACTAGATTAAAAGGTTAAAGAGAAGGAAGGAAAAGTGAACATGTGTGAAAGGCGGATAGTGTGATGTGAAGGGGAATACATTCATTTAGCACAGGAGAGGAGAACAGAAATGTCTGGAAGAGGTAGAACATCAGGGCACTGGCAGAAGGGGAAGGCAAGCAAAGGGGGTGGAGAAGATGAGGTGAGAAAATGTTTCCCAAAGGAAATGGTTTGAATTCTGTGCAGAGAGTGAGGGCAGCAGGCTTTATGCATAGGTTCCCATTGTGTTGGGGAAAATGGGATATAAATTAGAGTTGCATGTTAGGAGAACAGATTGGTCACAGAAATCAGCCAGGTCCCCAGCTTTCCTCCAAAAGCACTCAACAACGCAAAAGTAGAGCCAAAGGAAGCCAATGTTGAGATTGAATCATGCCTGGAGTTTGGTAATGAGAGAAAACGAAGTGTCAAGGGCAAAGAATAAACATGAAGAGCATCAGCAATCAGAGGCATGAAAGAAAGAGAAGAGAAAGCAGAGAGGGAAGGCCAAAAGTAAATAGTAAAACATGGTGAAGAATACTATGGGAAGGCTGAAGAGCTTGTGGGGAAAAAAACCAAAAACAGTCAGAAAAAGAAGATGCAGTAACAAAAAAAATCAGACAGGCAGTAAGACTTGATGAAAGCCTAGGTCTGTGAACCATTTCTTCAATCAATGAAGGCTTCAGTCAGATGAGAAGATGAAGATAAAGAAAGTGCAAGGGTAAATGCAGCTGGGTAATTAGCTGGGAACTGATGCCACTGGGGATGAGTGTGGGAGGCTGTGCAGAAATGGAGAGAGAGTCCCAAGAGGCGAAATGAAGAAAGCTGCTGAGGAGGGGTTGAGTGGGTGCTGGATGACAGTGCCATGAAGGCGAGAGGAGAATTGAATGTGATGCTTGCCACCCTTTCACCAACTGGCAGAGTTTGCCTGTCTTGATCTCCTCTGACTTCAAACTCTTAAGTCTTTCACAAGATGGCTAGTGTATCATTCCTACTTCTGCAAGCAAGCTAGTGTGATCTCTCTTTGTGTGTATATATGTATGATTCAGTGTCAAAACCAAACATTTACTTATAAAAAGGCAACTTCATGTGAATATGCATTTCATACAACAAGTATCCTGACACTCCACATCGCATGCTTTATGGTCCTTGTAGTGATATATGCAATAAATGGAGAGTAACTGTGGTTGTTGTTTTACTACAGATAAAATATATAGTAAATTATACTTCAAAGGAGAATTTCTAGAAGTAGTGGATTCTACCCATACCTTGTTGAAAAGGAGAAACACATAAAACTTCAACTCATATATAGATATACTGCTTCAAAGAGACAATTTGCAAATGCCTGTCAAGGAGGCCATATGGAGAGGCTGGCAGAAGGGCAGCTAGTGAACCAGTTATATGTGCCAAGTTCAATTTGTCACACTTTACAGTACCGAGAAATATTTTGTTCTCATTTTGAAAAGGAAAACTCTCTTTAGTAAAGATTCAACAACATGCTCCTCAAAATGCGTCTTTTATGAAGAGAAAAGGTCCAGCACGCCTGCCTTTAAAGGCTGGAGCCGCCGGTACGTAATGTATCTACAAAGGTATGTAGTAAACGCGGAGTACCGATTTAAAACGCGTTGAACAGAGGGACCCTCATGTCTCCACTTAAAAGGTGTCTTGGCCATCAGTCCTTGGAGCTGGAAGACTGACAGCTTTCAAAACCAAAGCGTATCGAAACTAGGGATGCGGTGCGTTATTGCCCTTGGACCACAGCTGCTGTGGCTGTAAGGGGGCAGTGGCACGGGTGAAAGCGGCGCAGGCCAGTGCTAAAATCACCTTTTCTCCTCAGGCGTAACAGCGAGGGGGTTTTCCGGAATTGCTTTGAGTGGATTTGGCAGCAAAATTCCTCATCCCTGCTCAGTCTCCCGGCCTTTGGCGCTTTAGATCTTCTCAACAGCTCGGCTCAGTTGTGGAGATTGCCCTGCCCAGGCAAAGGGGCGGTGGCTGGATGTACCGAAACCGAAGGCACCGGCTGCCTAACCCGGCTG